ATTGCCTGTATCCTAGGTTGACTCTCAACTACTGAGCCACACCAGTCCAGGCTATTGCCTTTTCTGTATGGGCAGTTTCAGCAGCCTGGGCTCAGTGGGTTCAATAAAAAAAAAACAATTCCAGTGAGCACTTTGCCTGCCCAGCCCCCAGAAGAGGTTTTAACCTTTTCCTCCAGTTCCCAAACAATAGTCCTTGAGAGTCTTATTCTTGTATTGTAGTCCTGTGAGCTGATCTCCGTTTCCCCTCAGGACTGTGCCCAGTGGAGGATAGCTGACCCAGTCCCTTTCTTGCTGGGGGTGGTGCTCCTAGCCTGCAGGAGAGGTAGGCGTGCTCCACCTCTCCTTTCCCAGATCTGGTTGGCTGATCCCACCAGGCACTTAATTCAATCTCTCCAGTATGCAGATACAAATCCCAACTTTCACTGGTCTTTCTCCCCAAAGTAAGCCAGGAAGGTGGACATCCGTTAAGCAATCAAAAACTCAAAAATTCACAAAGCAACACACAGGTAGAGAACCTGCCATAGGAGGTCCCGTTGCCCTCACACCTTGGTACCAAGCAGGAGGGATCACAAAGTCAGCCCCATGTAGCTCCCTTGCACAGCTGATCTCAGAAAAGCTGGGAAAGCTCCTTGTGCACTATCCCAGCTCCCCTCAGAGCGGGACAAAAAACCCCGATTCTCCACAATGGCAGCTCTGGTGGCTGGAAACCCGTTCCTCTGCACTGGCAGCTCCAGCAGCTAGACTCCCAATCTGCCCCACCGGCAGCTCCAGGGATTGGAGTCCTGATCCGCCCTCCTGGCAACTCTGGACCGTCTCTGGTGGTAGGAGGGCTTTCTTCCCTTTCCCTGTGCCACACAGATAAAATGCTTTCTGGGGTTATACTCAATGCTTTACAGGAAGGCAGAGGGTCCCTGTATATGGCTGCTCAGTGCAGCCCTCCAGCCCCTTTCTATTCGGGAGCCACACACTGTTGGACAGCCTTTCCTATGGTTAGCACCCAGTGTGAAAGACTCCTGTCCTGGCTGCTATTAGCAGCTTTCTTTCACTGGGAAGGCACGGTCCCCTCCTCACTGGCACACTGTTCCCCTGGGTCCTTCTCCCCCCCCCCC